TAGGTAAGATGAAACTATTTTTAGTTTTTCCGTTTCCAAAAGTGGTAGTTACCATTTACTTTCTTTCTATTTTAGGGATATAATTTTTGTTTATGGTTTGAACAATTAAATTTAGCATCAAGTTATGTCTAAATAGAAAATTTCGGTTAATATCTTACTAATTAAAGCTAAAGAGACCGAAATTTTTATCAGACCATAAGCCAGGTACGGGAACAGCTACTATATTTGATACTATTAGTATTAACTAAGGCTTATAGTGTTTCTTTGTTTATGTTTTAAAGACATTTTACTTTTCTAAGTTTAAAAAAACAGTGAATATTTTCCAATTATTTAATAAAATTAAACATGTCTACTTCTTCCAGTGCACTAAACCAAGAAAGTGGAAGTAAAAAATCTTCCTCTAACCATAGGTTTTGGGTTATGATCTTACTTTTTATTGTGTTAGTGGTGTTAATTGTAGGTTTAACTACTGCACTAACTATTGTTACCGTAAAATATGCTAGAAGTAAATCACCACAACTTTCTAGAAGAAAATCTGCCTCCCTCTTACAAGGCGATATTCCCAATAATAATAAATCCTTTACCGGAAATTATCTTCCTACTATGGACGATAATAATATTGAAACGAAAGCATTAAAAAAAATATCAAAAGATATTGATGAAGTAAATAATAAAGATCATTATAAAAGAAAACAACAAGCTATATCAGCAATAAGATATGGTTTAAAAAAGTCGCAGGATAGTAACCGTGCTAAAAAGGAAGCGCTTTTATCAGCCAAACGCTATTCCGGATACCTTAAAGATGACGATTCTGTAAATAACAATTATATAAATAATCGAGTTAAGAAAAATTTCTTTCTAGCATCTAAGCGTTATCATAAAAATTATAAAAGTGACATAAAAAAAAATTTTAATATGCAAAATGTTAATCGTAAGGAAAAAAAAGAAGTCATGGATGCGAAACATAATTTTCGTAGTAATGATCCCGGATACAGCACTTATAGCGATAATAAAAGACGAAACATATTCGCTAAGCATATACATGAATTGAGAGGGTCTGTCACTGAAAACCGTAAGAAAAAAGAAGAAGTGATGCATGCAAAACGTTATGATCATAAAAACATAAGTGATAAACCCGAGTACATTTCTAATCGCGAAGAAAAAAAAGAATTTATATCCACTAAGCATATTGAAAAGTTTAGTAAACAGCATACTAATGAGCCTAAACTTTTGGCTACCTTAGATCAACATAATTATAATAGGTCTGTCAAAGCTAACCGTGCCCAAAAAGAGTTTATTTTAAGTATAAAACGTTTTTATAAACATCAGGACAAGGTTTATTCAACAAGTAATGATGGCGACGTTATGTCTTGGAGTAAACCAACGCCCTACAAGTTAAATGTGCTTAACAATAAAGGTTTAAATGATGCAGTTGACTTAGATTTATTCAGCTATAGCTCTGGAGATGGGAAAATAGCCATTGAAGAAAAACACTTCGGTTTAATTAATGAAAAACACTGTTCAGCTGTAGAAAAAAACAGAGCAGGGATTTGTGTTCCTAGGGAAAAGTTTTTTTACGAAGTTAATCAAACAAACACATTAAAATTACTTGACTTTAAATTCAATGAATCCGATTCTTTGGCAGCACTTATATGGCAACTACCCTTAAACCAACAAATTTACAGTTTTATAGATAGCAGCAATATAACAGTGGTTTATAATGATGAGCTTGCGAAACATGTATTAAAAGTTTCTACCAGGTATATTAGTAATAACACTGTGAAGCCTAAAGAACTTTTAGAGCATTATGACTCAAAAATCTCTCAAATTTTGGGGTTCAAGGATGATACCATGACCTACATGTGGTGGTTTAAGATTAATGAAGAATTGCATGCAAATGATAACTTTTTTCATATCTTTCAACTAAAATCAATCAATGACATTACTGAAAGGCCTCTTATCACATTTACAATTAAAAGGGAAAACAATGGCCATCGTTACTTTAGTTTTATAGAATTAAACAAAATGTACGTCCTGGGATTAATTGAGAAGTTTAAATATAAATGGGTTCAAGCTTATGTGGAAATTAATTTTTCAAACTCTGGCTATCTTAAATTTGACTTCCGTGACATTTATGATAAACAAATATTTACATTTAATGATAAACAAGAAATGTACTATGATCAATTTGCATACAGTTTAGCTATACCAGAGGAATTTGTAAGGTATAATACTTTTATCGCTTGGCATTATTCCATTACTTTTTATTTAAATTAGGCCTTCTTGGGGAGTTTACGAGTCGTTCAATGAGCAACAAATGACTAAAGATAGTGTTAATATATCATACTCCAGTATAGAAGTTTACAAAAGAACGGAGGCAAGCTTAACGGAAAATTCCTTGAATATAATGATGAATCAGAATTTTTCTTGCTCTATGTGTCATGTACATGCCAAATGCGTAGATAATGCTAAATGTATTTGCAAATATAATTTGATCGGCGATGGAATTAGCGAATGTTCTTGCCCTAAAGATCAAAAAATGAGTAACTTACGATGCTACGATCTGGACTTTTTTAATTATGAACTCGATAGCAGTATTTATTATCAAAGCATAAGGACAGAATTTCCAGAGGGGTCTAACCCTTACCAAATACTTTCGAAGTATCCTTTCAAAACTAAGGAAAACTTTTGGAAAGATTACAACAATCATCATTTATCGATTATTTACGATGATGATCTGCAAAAACCCGTATTAAAAATGACCGTAAATCATAGTTTAAACTCCTATATACAACCATATAACCAAGAATTCAGCATCAAAATCTTAAGTACAGCTAATAATGATACAACAATATTAGCCGCGGAAGGCGACACCATGATATACCTTTTTTGGTTTAAAGTTAGCAGACTTACACATTTGTCTCAAAATATTTTTGACATATTTCAAATCGTAGCAACTCAAGAGGACACAGGACAAGATGACTTACCAATATTTGCTTTTTCACTTAATCAGTTTAACGGTGAAAACCATCTGTTTTACAGAAGGTTTGACTCAATGTACGATTTAGGACCATTAAATAATTATCATGATGCGTGGGTTCAGGCATATGTTGAGGTAAGTATGTAGACCTCAGCACAGTTAGTAATCTTTTTTAACGATCTAAACTACCAAGATTAAATATGAAAAAGACGGCTACATAAAATTTGATTTAAAAGACATGGAAGGGAACAGACTATTGGAACTTGTAGATGATTTAAGCTTTGTTGATAACCACGTCAACTGCTGGGAAGATAATTATCGTTCTATAAGGTTATATTGATTTCTTATCATGAAGGCTGCAGTTGCATTATATTAATTATTTTTAGACCTCGATGGGGGATATACAAGATCCAAAGCAGAGAGCGAAAGTTCGACGAACTAGAAGAAGTTTATTATACAGACTTAACAGTATACAAAAAGTTTCGAGATGACAGTCCCTTGCTCCCGGAAGATTGTAGAGTATCAGATTGGTTCCATGGGCCTTGTGAATTTAAATGTGGAAGGGGCACAGTCAAAGGGTTTCGAAACGTAACTAGAACTATCATTAGACCTGCGAGTCGAGGTGGGGAGCCCTGCCCGGACCTGCTAAAACGAACAGAGGAGTGTGAAGGAAGGTGTCTCACTATTGACTGCGAAGTTACTGAATGGGTTACAGGATCCTGCAAAGCGCACTGCGGTACAGGAACTGTAAATGGAACAGTAGTTTCTGAACGAACAATAACGACCTACCCTTCTAACGACGGTGCTTTATGTCCTGAATTAACTAAAAAGGAAGCTTGCGTACATCGGTGCCCTGAACTTGCAATACTATCAGAAAAAAAGGACTGCTCTAAATGCCATAGCCTAGCCTCTTGTGAAACTTCTGGATGCCAGTGTGTAAATAATTTAATAGGAGATGGAGTAAAGTTCTGTGGTTGTAATGAAACCAGCAAACTAAAAGAGGATCATTGTGTCACCCTATTTACTTTTAACTATGACATCTCAACTACTGATTTCAAGCAAGGCATTCACGCTACATTTCCCAAAGCTTCCAACCCTTATAAAGTTTTATATAAATACCCATGGAATAATGAAGTAGAAGAACACCCAGGCCACGTTTACGACCACTTGCAAGTTGTGTGGGATCCACAAATAAGAAAACAAGTGCTTAACGTTATAATGCACCGGGATCTAGACGGGGATGGTAGCGGAGACCTAAAAGATAGACAGCGAACTGAGTTTAAGGCTTCCGAAAAATCAGCTGAAAGGATTATTGCTTTAAAAGATGAAACTATGGTATACATGTGGTGGTTTAAAATAAACGGAAATGTAAAAGCAAGCAAAAACTTTTTTCATATATTTCAGCTTAAAGTTGTAGGTGACGTGGATGGGACGCCCATGTTTACTTTAACAATTGAACAAAAATCAAACGCCGACAAATTTTACTATACGGATTTTGGTAACTTTCATGAACTTGGGCCCATGTCCGCTTTTTCAGGGAAGTGGATTCAAGCTTACGTGGAAGTTAAGTACTCTTCCAGTAACGGTTATACAAAGTTTAATCTAAAAGATATTATGGGTAAAAATCTAATTGATACGAAAGGTGAAGAATTTTATACAATAAAGCGGCAGAACAGGTGGATTAAGGGTTCAAAGCTTGTGCGAACAAAATGGGGCATCTACAGAAGCAAAATTACAAAAAAATTGTATAATTCGGAAGATGTGCTCGCCGTAACGGATCTGACTATTTACAAAAAAAGATAAACTTTTTAATTTCTAGTTTTAAAAAGTGTGCCATATAAGAAAATACTGGAAACTAACAAAGGTATAAATAATACAATTTGTTAAACTTTATTATAGCCAATAAAGTATAAGGACTGGCAAGTCTGTCCATATTAAAGGTACAATCAATATAGGATATGTAAATATTTTCCAAGTTCATGAAAACTTTCTGTAGTGGAAACTCTTCGTAGGATTTTAGTTAAATTAAATTATTTTCCCAACTTTCTTCCGATTCTCCCACAAGGTCGTCATTGTAAGGGTGAATGTTTTTATTTTTTTTGAAAAAATAATAACCAATTAAAGCCCCTAAGCCTACACTCAGTAGTATAGCAAGCAATATAGTCACCACTTCCCACTTGTTAATACTATAAACTCGAGAAGAATAGTCTTCCTTCGTGTCGTTTTCGCCTGGGTTTCTATCATTCTGACACTCAGCACTAATATTAGTAGGAGTTATTTTATCTAAATAGTCTCTAACGACTTCCCAAGGACACAAATGATGCGAGTTTTGGATAGAAAACTTTCCGCAAAAAGGAAAAGGAGTTTCTACACCGTTGTAAATTAGCCTAAGGAAAAAGTTTGGTTCAGTTTTTAAATTATCTTCCTCGTACAACTCAAACTGTAATAACGAAGAGTATCTCGGCCAGTTCTGCTGGGAAAAACCAAAGGCGATCAAGATGGACAGGAGGCCCAAGTCGTGACCGCTATACTCAGCAAATTTGTGAAATGAAAGGTTCCTAGAAATACTCTGGTGGTACTCTACATCATTAGAATTGGTATCTTTCCCTGTGTTATTGATAGAGAATCGCTGTTTGGCCTGCATTACGGCTATATCCCAGCGATCTTTCCACTCTTTAAGTAAAATCCCTATGGAAACTCGAGACTTTTTTTCTAAAGTAGGGTACGTGCCGTTGAGCGCTGTAGTCTCGGCGTAAATAAAGCTCATTTTTTCTATAAAGTCCTTTTCCAGCTCTAAATTTTCTTTGGTAAGCGGAGTTTCATAGCCGTGACATTTATGCATGATCATACAATCCCAAAGGTGGTCTAACTGCGTTAAATATATTAATAAATTAATTATAATATAAAGTTTTATGAAAACACACGTTCTCTGAAAAAGTTCCAAATTGTCTATGCAATATTATAGAAAAGTTTTTGCGCTGAGCATCCAGCTGCTTCTTTTTAGGGCTAACAGACTGTTCAAACTCTTCCGAATAACTTCTGGATTTCGCGCAGAAATCATAACCCCAAATGGGATCAAGCTCAAGTGCTTGCGTGTTGAATTCCAGTGCGCTCAAGTTGTCTATAGGGTACATCCCATTAATAAGTGCTTGAAGTGATTGAATAACACGGGGCACCTTATCCCAGTGGGCGCAGAAGTAAATAGAACAAAGTTAAAGTGTAATTGTACAGTAAAAAAGTACAGTGTCTGCCCGCAAGTACAATTCGGAATTCAAGGGAGTGGACGAAAGAAAACTAGAGCAGAAAAATAATTAAAAAAAAAAAGAGTAGCACTGAAAACTTGCAACAGTTACCCGGATTCCACATAAGAACTCCGCAGCATTTTACCGTTTTCTGTCTGCATTTCGTAGCCCTTAGAGGTAAGTTGCCCTATTTTAAGCTAAAATTACTATATAATAACAATAACCCTATATCGCACATCCTACCAGGGTAACAGTTTTTATATGGAAATGAGTCTCTGTTATCATAACGTTGTAAGTACGCTCTTGTAGGAGAAACGTCGCTTTCGTTTAAAAGTACAAAACCCACTTTTAACTTGCAATCAAAGTCAGTCTCCATTGAATCTTCTTCCCAACACTTTCCGCCTTCAGTTGTTACTTATATAATTATCTTTTAAAGTTAAAAAAAGATTGAGTATAAAAACTATAAACCTCTGTCTCCATGCCTGTGGAAAATAGTGACCTGTGTCAAGGAAAGACCTGGCACCAAAGGCACAGGATTAGGAGCATAACTAAAGTTGCACTGTGAAGGAATGTATTTTAAACTAAAGCACTTCCATACCATAAAATATATAAATAAGAGAAACATTATACTAAATTAGTCGCACTTGACTAGAAGCCATAAATAAAAAAACACGGTGCACTGGCATGCCCGAGATGTGGAGAGGTAGGCATGAGGTTAGAAATTTTGTGCCTTCCTAATTCTCCTAAACTTAAGCGGTGCGGTTTGTTTTATTATTATATTATAGCTAATAACTTAAAATGACTAAGTAAAAAAGGAATGCTCTGCTAAATTTTGTGTTTCCAAAGATTAAAAATTATTATTACCATCATAACTTTTACCTTGTTGCTTGCAACTGCCTGATTTTTACTTTTAAAAACATTTAATAATAATTCCGAGAAGGCTTACTTTTGTAGTATTATTATAAAGTATATAAGTGAAAAACTGTATTTCGTTAGTAGGAGAACTTATGCAAGTACACATATTGTTCTATATCTAGTAAATTTGTCTCTCTTCTATTTTTATTTTGACCGTATATGCATCGACACATGCAGTGATAGCCTTTTTTAATGGGGATCGCGCCCAGCAAATTTTAACAACCCTTTATTTTGTAAGCCTGATTTTTAAATTTGAAAGCGATTACGGTATCAAATTCCCAAGGTCTCTTTTTCGAGGGCTAGGCTTGCTTTTAAAAAGAAAAACCTAATGATATTACACTGGAATTATGGAGGACAGTAGTTTCCTATTATAAAAACCTATGATGTAGTTTTTGAAAAATAACAAAGAGAAGTAAATGGTATTTAATAAACTCTGCAGGAGAAAGAGAGATGTTAGCTGCTCTTCCGAAAAACAAAAGATTGCTTTATTGAGTAAAAGGAAGTCATGTGATGAAATAATATTTTTTTTAAAAAAAAATACTTTTTAATAGTTCTTATATTTGTAAAAGGACTAAAATATAATTTTCTTCGAAGTAAGCATTGCTCGATTGTATACACTCCTTTAACTTAAAACAGGTCACCGGTATGTAAACTATCTAAATTTGAAGAGCGAAAGCCCAAAAATAGTTGAACGTGCTAGCATAACAAATAGATATCTGGCCTTTCACTATAAAATAAATCTCTAACACTACAATTATGAATGTAGTACCTGCTCTTGACAGAAGCATATAGCTTTTAATTAAAAAAAAAAAAAAAAAAAAAGATTGAATAGCTTAATTGAATTTATTTACTAAGGGCGTTCTACAGGTGCTCGATCGAGTTGACAACTTCGAATACCCGAGCTCTCACACCAGGTTTTTAGCCTTCCACAAAGTGCAAGTAAAATTATCGTCTTAACATGTGCCCTTTACGTTCAATTTAAAACCCCCACTTAGCTTTCAATCGACGTGGGGGGCTGAGGTGCGTCGCGTGGAAGGCAGTACTGTGCACCGTCCCACAACCCGTAAGTGAGTTCTTCCGCTAGTAGGCGATTAGCGCGTCAAGCTTTCCATGCAGAGGGGGCGACGGCATCATTTTTTAAAGAGTGTGGGTCAGCAGTTCAGTCCGTAGTTCGTAGTGGTGTATTCATTGCGCACAAACCACCGCGCGTTTGTGGAAAGGCGCAGCAGTTGGTCTGTTGCACTTGAAGCGATGAGGTTATCGCCGATACGTCGTAGGCCCAGGCAGGAGATGTATATGCCATAATCGACCGAAATGCACAGCACATAAAGGCTTCGCTTATTGTACAAGGAAAGTTTACTTTTGCAGTGTAATAAAGGATATAGGACCTGGGTTGCTGCCTTGAGCTTCGCCGCCAAGTAATTTACGTGTGGACGCCAAGTCAACCAAGAATCAATAGTGGCCTCCCGGTATTTTACCTGAAAATACCACGGAATTTCCATGCCGTTAAAAGTTAACGGAGGCAACAGCGCATGGTGTTTCTTCGTTATAAGAAGCGCCTTGCTCTTTGCTGCATTAAGGGAGAGGTCCCATTGACGAAGTCAGCTAGCAAGCGTTTACAAGATAAAATTGTAAGTGCTGGCATAGTAAAACGGGTGACTTGGACGAAAAATAAAATCATCGTATTATTTGGCGTAAATGGCGACCCGCGTGTGAGGGTGAACCGGAAGAAGAATGTCGCTAGTATAGAGTGCGAATAACAGCGGTGATAAAAGAGAGTCTTGCGGAACCCCTGCTGTAAGATAGCGAGGCGAACGCCAGTGAAGCGCCTACTCGCACGTTGAAGACCGGCAGGTTAGGTACGGCTTGAGAACTTCTTGAAGGCCGCGCGGTACCGCCAAAGCATGTAGCTCGCATGATAACAGGCCACCATGTCATACTCGGCAAAAGCCTTCGCCTTCTCAACATCGAAAAAGACAGCGCCAGAGGCTTTTTTAGAAATTAAAGGCTCTGATCGTCCACTCGGTTAGGCGAAGAATATGTTGTTGGGTCGTTGAGTGTCCCTTGTGAAATCCAAAAATGAAGCTCTGGTAAAATTCCACTAGCGTTCACAACCGCCTTCAAAGGATTAAGTATAACTACTTTAACTATCTTACCGGTTGTCGCCAAAAGGCTGACGGGTCGATAGTTGTGAGGCACTGACGCCATTTGCGTCGTCTGTGGTAGCACCACGACCACCGCCATTTCCCCACGCCAGGGGAAATAGCCGAAGGCCAACACCGAGTTGACGAGACCGTACAGATGATTCATAGCAGCCTCTGGCAATTGCCTTAACAGCCGGATTAGTGATGCCGTCAGAGCCGGGAGCCTCTCGCTTCGGTAGTAAATTGATAATTGATTTGTTCTCGTCTGTGTTAGACAGGTCAAATAGATCACTGGAAATAAGATTAGGCACAAGGGGAGCGTTGTCTACGGTTGAAGGGGTGGATGGCGAACACTGGGCAGCTAGATGATCAGCAAAAAGTTTTCGCTTTATCTTCATCGCTTTCGGCTACTGTATCGCTGTTGTGAAGTGGTGGTCGAATCGAACGTCCGCGATTTCGAACTCGCTTAACAAATTTCCAAAAAGAGGCGCGACCGACGTCACCGACTTCCGATCCTTCGTTTAATTTGTTATCCCATTGGCAGTTTATATGTGCCTCCAGCTTTTTCCTGATGTGCCAATGAAGGAGGTTTTAGCACAAGTATTTTGTCTTCTGCGCGTTGGAAGGCCGTGACTACTCGGATGAGTTGCCAACGCTCGCATATTAATGCCTTTAATTCCTCAGGGAAGCCGTTAGGGGCGGTACACAAACTTCACTTGTCGTTCGCTGCTTTGCTGTGGGCTTCTTTCATCGCGCGTTAGCTAAACTGAATTCAACTACGTCATGCGTTATAAGCTTTTTCTGTAAAGTAATTAAGAAAGTAAAATTACTGATTGGAGAGATACAACCACTAAAATGGAAAGCAATAATTTCCTACTTGTGCTATATAAGACAAGCTTTTCATGGTTTTATTACTATATAAATCACCTCTCAACCACAAAAGACAGAAATGTGATGATTATCAATAGTTTTATAAACAACTAAATTCTCGATTTTTTTTTTTTCAGCACTCTATCTACCCTTCCCTTTTAAGATAGCATTTAGTGTCCAATAATCCCTATGTGAACATAAGATCTGGTCTTGCTATTATTAATATGGAAGACAGCAGAAAAAAACTGTTCATTACTTATTAACCTCGATAATACCAGTTTTTCGTGGCTAACTACAAATAACATTATAGACCTTTAAATAACAAAGTTCTTTCCAGCGTACTGGAATATATTGGTAACACTCCCATGATTCGTTGCGGAAATATAATTAAAGAGTATGGACTACAATGCGAACTCTGTAATTAACTCTTCCTTCTTATTATTTTTAAATATGATATATAAATATTAAATAAATAAAGTATATAGCTAGTTTCCTTTCATTTATTTCTATTTTATAAACTTTTATAAAGATGCCAAGTGCGAATTTTTCAGTTGTGGTGGCTCGGTTAAGGATAGGTGAGATGGAAAAACTCTTTTTGATAAGTACATCCTTGATAGTACGGCCCTAAAATTATAGGATTTCGATTAGAATGTTCGAAGAAGCTGAGAAATCTAATATAATTAAGCCTGGATACACCATAATTGAACCCACATCGGGTCCACTTTTCTCTTCCTTTTCCTCAATTGCCAACATGCTTAACTTTAAAAAGGTAACACGGGGATCGGACTTGCTCTCTGTGCTGCCGTTAAAGGATACCGCTGCATTATGTGTATGCCTGAGAAAGTGAGCGATGAGAAGGCAATTTAAGCGCCACTAATTTTTTTGTTTTACAGAACAATTATCTTAGTAGGTCGACGTGTTGAAAGCTCTCGATGCGAAAATTATCCGAACCCCCACAGAAGTTCCATCCGAATCTCCGGATTCGCATATAGGCGTTGCTCAGAGCCTTAATCGTGAAGTAGTAACTAAATTTGGTTACTTTAATCTCGAAGCAGTAACTATAAACTTATCACAAGATAAAGAATTCGTGTATATTAAACCAATATGAGAATCAGTATAATCCTATTGTGCACTATGAAGAAACTGCAGAAGAAATTTTAAGTCAGTGCGGTGGAAGGGTAGATATGTTCGTCGCTGGCGCAGGTGCATCGCTAACAAATAATACCAACATTAGTTATTCATTACATTTTTCTTCTACATAAAAGGAACAGGAGGCACTATTACGGGGGTTGCCAAAAAACTGAAAGAAATAAATCAGAACGTCAAGGTAAGCCGTCATTGTGTATATACCTATTTCCAACTTGTATTTTACTCATCCCAGATTGTTGGTGTTGATCCTGTAGGCTCTGTTCTTTCACAACCGGACCCCACGAACGCCAAGAAAGGTAACTGGCTAGTCGAGGGCATTGGATACGATTTTGTCCCAAAAACGCTGAATCGAAGCGTGATAGACTCGTGGATTAAGAGTACATATAAACTCCTGACAAAATGTCATGGTTTACTGGGTTTTTATGAGCTTATAACTTTTCCGCAGCCGACGACAAAACTTCTTTTGAAATGGCACGCAAACTAATAAAATTGGAAGGTAACCAGCTTCCACCGATCAGGGAAAAAAAAACTACTTGTACTACCATGCTTAAAAGGCCTACTTTGCGGAGGTTCTAGTGGTGCCGCTATGGCCGCAGCAATCAAGGCTGCAAGAGAGCTCAAAGAGGGTCAGATTTGCGTCGTGGTACTGCCAGACGGACTACGGAACTATATGAGCAAATTTTTGAAAGACGAATGGATGGAACTACACGGTTCATTTCCGATCACTCCCATGCGGTGTGTAGCCTAAAACTAAACGGCGCCAGCAGGATTTTTAGAAAGTTCGCCTAAAGCTTCCGAAAACTACTACAACGGCGGCACTATAGGCAGTTTGAAGCTAGAGAGAACAGAACGGATCAGAAATGGTCAGCAGAAAGGAACCCAAGGATTTTGCTTAATTCTAATATATAACTTAGATGCCACGTGCAAGGAAGCTTGCGAAGCCTTGGCGAAGGTAGACACCGAGTGGCTGCCAGTTGTGGATACCTCCAATAAGGTCTTATTATACAATTCCCTAACCAAGCCAAGCACCACGTCCAACAGAGCTGTAGGTGGTGGGGATTGCTGCTACTGATATACTCCTCAGCAACTTTAAAAGCGGACGACTGACAGATGCGTCTCCTGTAGGCCGCCTTCAGGAGCTATCTTCTCTGGGACAAAAAGTGCAGGTAGCGCGCTTTGGTGCTACTTTTTGTTTGACTTACAAGACTTTTTTAAAAAACTTCTAAGAACGTCAAGTTGAGCACAAAGCTTTCTAAAGTTGACAAACTCCTGCAAAAAAAGTATTTCTGCTGCGTAACTGATGACCACACGCAAGAAGTAAACCACAGAATTCCCTAAAAAAAAAAAAAAAATTATTAACTCTCTCAACGCTCTTTATAATCCAGCTACTTTACAAGGTAACAATGAATGATCTGCTTCAATATGTCCTAAGGAGCAGAGATGCGCACTGATCACCGCCCTCTAATTGCTTGAGCTTCAGTGACAAACAGCCAACAATAAAGTTTGTTTTACGTTGTTGGCGAGTCCGCCAGACAGCATCAACCTTTACTCAGCTGTTTTCCCCGCAATCGACTATCGTCACTCTTTTCATGGGTCTTCCGGTTTTGCTGCCAACCTCCTCCATTTTCTTAACCACCTCCATCCCTTGTAAGCAGAACCAATAGGAAACCTCCTCCTGGCCCATGTGGTGGTTATTCAACTTACCCTCGACGACCTTTCCAAACACCACGTGCTTTCCATCGAGCCTGGTAACCGATGTTTAGTGTCAAGGCTACTATTTAAAAGCCGTCGGGGTCGCGCATAAGTACCACTCCGTTTTTGCGGTGCAGATAAAAAATTGCGATTTGTTAGTATTGGGGCCGGAATTCGCCATCGAAAGGACCCCTTTACACGCCCAACCGAGTTAGCTGGAGAGAGGAGAGGCAGAAGGTACCAGGCCGAAGCCAACCTGCTCCGGTGTGTTTCAGCTGAAAATTTTCGTCCTCAAAGGGGCCTATAGAAAAGCAGGCATTTCACTCAATTTAATATAAATAGCCAATTCAAAAGAAAGCAGTGTTTCGTGCCGTTATAAATTGAGTTCCCGCCGGTGCCGTCCTCGTGTGTAAAATCACCGCCTTGCACCATAAATTGCGGGATGATGCGGTGGAAGATACTTCCCCTGTAGCCAAACCCTCGAGCGTGCGTGCACAGCTGCCGGAAATTCTCTGCTGTTCGCGGTACGACGTCTTTTCGCAGCTGTCAATTATAAAGTTCATTGTAGGAATCCAGAACGAAACTGGCCGACTTGCCTCTATTTTGATTCTTCCTATAGGAACCGAGGCAATCGCAATGTCTAAGTAAACCAACGGATTGCCTTTACTCCCAGTCATCTCGACCGAGGTTAGGTCTTCCTTTAGAACGTGGTAAAGCACAGCAGCGCTTAGTAAAAAGTCTGCTAGGAAAAATTTTTATTAAGACTTGAGCTACTGAGTCAGTAGTTTCTTCGCTTGCAGCCTGGCCCTCTCCCGTTCCTCTACCAAACCTTTTCAGCCAGCTTTCTTCTGTCCAAATGGGACGCATGGAACCTTCTTTGATGATTTGCGGCTTCGCAACGTTAACCTTAAAACAAAAAATAACTTAGCTGTTGATGTATTAGAAAAAGATTATAAATCAAGCTCGTATAGTATGGCCCAGTAGCTCAGAATCATTCATGTTATCAATAGCAGCGGAAGCGTCTTCCACAGTAAAAAATTCAACAAATGCAAAGCCCCGATGCTTTCCTATTACAAAATAATAGTACTTCCTTAACTCTAAAAGCAAAAGCTGATAAATAATTGCACTAAAAAAAAAAAGTTGCTAAAAAATATAAAGAACCTAAGACCAGCATATACACTAACAATATAATAGTAAAAATAAAGGTCTATGCTAACTCTGTCCAAGTAACAAGGTCAACCTCAAACAATATAAACCTGTTTCATAATCTATAGGGATAATAATGTCAAATATTTCTCCAAAAGGGATAAAAGCGGCATGTAAGATTTCCTTCGTAACCTCTTGATCTAAACCACCTAAGGGTGGATGTTGTGATATTATTGACAAACATCTAAACATTTTAAAGTAGAATATCATTTAAAACATACCAACATATAAAATCTTCTTATTAGACATAAGTATTAATAATGTAGTAAAAAAATGAAAAAAAAAAAAAAGTAGAAATTTTTATAGGCGACTCGGAGATTAGTGCAAAGTGTCTGTGAGCAGGCTTTGGGGGTGTACTTTTCGGTGCATGCGACATACTACTACTAGGCTCTCTTGTAAGTACTGCGATGTCCCCTTCTTTTATTAAAAGTATACCAAATAGTGCTAAGGTTGGTGGTATTTCCCAGCCATGGGTAGAAAAATAGTAAGCTATTTTGTTAATAATAAGTTTTATTAAACGGTACTCTAAAAATCCTTTTTATTAAATCTTTGTTTTTTATAACTTAGCAGACCTAAGACCATCGATGAGGTTGTCTCCCAAGAAGAAGTAGTGGCTTCTCTAAGTGCTGCTGTCAAAGTTGGAAATGTATGATAAGCTTTCATCTTTCTTCGTCTTATGAATTTTGTTTTTTATGAAGGACGATTTCTTTTTCAACTTTTCTTCCAGCTTCCTCATCTTTTATTTTATGGGCCCCCCGGAACCGGAAAAACTTCCACTATTCTAGCTCTCTCTCATCAAATATTTGGGTTTTTCACAGTATTCATTATAAGAATTTTTATCTTTAATAATGATAATATCAAGCCCTGAACTATATAAAGAACGGGTTTTAGAATTAAATGCTTCGGATGAGCGCGGAATCGATGTAGTTCGCGAGAAAGTAAAAAAATTTGCGCAATCTCTTGTCTCGGTGAGCAAAACGTAGTTAGTTCTTACTTTTATAATTACTTCTTATTTTCACCTTCCTTATTTTTATAATATAGTTTCGTAATATATTTTCATAAAATTAAATTATTTTTCAAGCGCACCGCTATTTAAAGTTGTGATTCTGGACGAAGCGGATTCGATGACGAAGGATGCCCAGGCGGCCTTACGCCGTACAATGGAGGTCTACTCTAAGATGACCCGATTTTGCCTTATATGCAATTATGTTACCAGGTTCATCAAAATTAGTAATCTATAAGTGAAATAAGAACCTTTTGCTTTTTTACTGTACTAAAGTTTTAACGATTATACTTGTTACTGCGTGGCTTAATCTTTGAGATAACTTAATTAATTATTTATAACTTTTTAGAATCATTGAGCCGTTAACGTCCCGCTGTGCAAAGTTTCGATTTAAACCTCTACCCTATAGCTTAATGGAAGAGCATATCAAAATGATTGCAGAGCAGGAAGCCATTTCCCTTGGGGACAACGTGAAATTTGTTCGTTATAAC